AATAAATAAAAAGCAAACATGGTATAGAGTATACATATTATATATACAAAAACTGCTTAGGAAAAATGGATATAAGATGAATCCAGAGGCACCTGGGTGACTCAGAGCGTCTGACTCTTGGTTTCGGCTCAGGTCATGATCTCACGGTTTCTTGCGTTTGAGCCCCACGTCGGGCTCTGTGCTGACAGCATGGAGCCTAATTGGGATCCTCTGTCTCCCTCTCTCTCTGCCTCTCCCCCCAGTCACACTGTCTCTGTCTCAAAAGAAATAAACTTCCCCACTGGAAGTAATATGCGTCCAACATGTTAGAAGTTATCTCCAAGCACAGGGATTATGAATGATTTTTTTTTTACCTTTTTCTAAGTCTTTTCTGTATTTTCTAAATTTTCAACAATGAACACATATGGTTTCATCAATATTATCTGAGAACTACATGTTGATGTACATAAATACAACTATAAACAAATAGTGATGGTGTCTGCATTGGGGGATGAAGCTAGCAGAGGCCAGGCCAAGGGGGTCCTTTCTTGCTGAGGTGGGAGACTTCCAGAAGTAGTTAAGGGACTTGAAATCTCAGGAAGGCATGTTTCCAGGACCATTCTATTGTGGATCTGTTCACAGTAACCTAAATTAGCCTCTAGCCTGAGTTAAAGCTTTGGCACTTGGAATGTAGGACTACAGCCTGGCTAAGATGGCTGGCTGCCCGTCCACCTCAGCTCCGTCACTCCTTGATTCTATTGATGGTTTTCACATCTTTCCCACCCAGAGGGCCCTGGAACGCAGAGTCAAGGAAAGTAGACCACAGATTCAAGCTCTCTGCCCCTGTCTTTTATATGCCATCCCAAGCATGGTATGTATGAGTAGGACTCATTTTGGAAGTTAGAAAATGATGGAAAGAAAATTTTTAAAGGCAGAGCATCTTAATTCTTCCATCCTATTAGGGTTTAAGCGAAAAATTAAAAGAACAACTATGTGAAAAATTAAAAGAACGAACTAGAGCATACATGTGTCCAGGAGTTTGGAGGAGCCTGATACTTAGTTACTGCTTTGTAAACTGGGGATAGACTCTGTTGACTATTAAGAAGCAACGCTTATGGGCATCTAGTGCCATCTGGTGGTAAATTCTTAGAAACAGCTATTTTTATTCCTTAGAGTATTTCATTTCACCTTAAGAGAGTCCAATAAGATTAATATATGGGAAATGAATGAGGGGAGTGAACAGAAAACAGTGGTAATGGGAACCGCTGAACAGCATAAAAATACAAATACTTTAAAACAAATTCACTAGAAATTAGTTCTCAAAGCATAGTCCCCAGACCAGTAGAATCAGCATTGCCTGAGAGCTCATTAGAAATGCAAATTACCAGGCCCCCCTTCAAACTTAGGGAGTTAGAGATGAAGTGGTTAGGGCCGAGCAATTTGTGTTGTAACAAGACCTCCAGGTGAGTCTGCTCCTGCATTCCTAAAACTGAAAACTGTAGTGTTAAGCAACAAGTCAGGTAGCTCTTCCTGATTAAAATCCCACCTCGTGTCCCCACAGGTCAACTAACAATCCTAAGAAGGGACAAGTAAGCAGAGACCTCTCCCTACCTTGCAGTGATGAGTGGGAGCTCCTGGCCACAACCTGCCAACCAAAAGCTTACGTTGTAGACCGGAGGGGATCCCACCACAGAGAGCGACTCCACCAGATTCCCACCTGGGCAAGCTGTTCCAGAATCTGCCTGGGAAACTAGAGACCAATGATGTGATCGTTAGCAAGCAACTCAAGATGGAAGGCCCAGTGTGTGGGAGATCCCAACTGCAGATGCTGAGTTACTTAGGTCTCAACACACATTTAAAGCAGAGGTTCCTACATATCTGCCACCATGAAAAGCAAAGGAAGAGTAGGTAGAAGGAGTCAGTTCATACCAAAAGGAAAATATAAAGGCATGGTTTAGGGAGACAAAAACGAATTCCATAGCAAAGTTTGATAAGCCCCAACCCAGACAAACATCCCTCCCTAGGCTGTTGGAGGCACCCACACAGAGATAACCCATCGTCATGTGGACTGCTACCCTTTCCTTCTTCCCTTTCCAAGGCCACTGGCAACTCCAGGAATGTACAGCTAATCTTCTTCAGGAACACTGAGCACACAGACACATACTGGAGGCATGTGAGTGTTCATCAACAGCATGAGTCAGCACGTGTGCAGAAAAAGTGCAAGCTGTGAAATAGACTACTGTTAAAATCCTGATTTTGTACTTCCATTTGGCTAAATATAGTGTTTCTGTCTCCTCTGTAAAGTGGGAATCGCAATACATCAGTCTGCATGGCAGGGAGAGTTTAGTGAGGTGGCAGAATTTAAGTGACCAGCACAATCTATTTTAATAGCCTCTTCCCCTGGGTAAAGGATACCTTCTCCCCCAAGACTGTACAATGGAGACAATGGACAGTGTAAAGGCAACATCTTGACATGCCCCATGCTTATTTAGCACAACATCAGGCACACAGTAGGTGCTCAATAAATGTTTATTTGCTCAGCAGGGTATAGACTCATTGAAGGCTTGGCTCTGGTTTCCAGATTGCAATCTCCCCCATACCCCAGCTGCGTGATTTGGGACAAGATACTCAAACCCTCTTAGTTTTGGTTTCCTCATCTATAGAGTGGAGATAATAGGACCACTTCACAGGGTTCTGAGATCTAAATGAGAAGTAAATGGTAGCCACCGCTAGATAAAAGCAACTTTCACAGAGAAGATTAGGTGAGAGAATATAAAGTATGAAGTATGAATATCGGGCCCAATTGTATAGAGTTCATCCTGCCTTTAAATAATCCTCAAAGCAAAGTCATCACCAGCAGGGAACCTAGACAAAGTGGGAAAGAGGCAGCTTTACCCAAGCCACCCTGCCCTTCTTGCCTCCCTCTTCACCTCTCCCCTAGATGGTTCTACATACTGGAGCATCTGATGGTTAAAGGTGGGGGCAGTGAGAAGGTGCTATGGATCCTGGGCTTCCCCTTGGGAGCAGGGAAAGAGTATCATCTAGTTCTGAGTTTCCCAGCCGGTGGGTTCAAGCACATGAAATATTGATCTCCTCAGCACTCTGGGAATCTAGATGGCATTTAGGGGGTCACCAGGCCCCAGCCAGTTGTCTTAGGCCCCAAGAAATTCAAGTAATTATCCCAGCACACCGTGTGAATATTGTCATCGTCTAAATGTGCCATAACATGAACAGCGTTTGAAATAATTCAATCTGATCCAGATGCCCCAAAAGCACTTAAACCAATGAAACAGGTAAGAGAATTCTGAGGGCTGCCTGGGTGGCTCAGTCAGTTGAGCATCTGACTCTTGA